TACATTTTAAATTATTTATAAATTTATAAACAATGTGTATATATGTGTTTTTTATATATTTATTTTCTGCTATGTATAATACATATATATATATCAATAAACAAATAAATAAACGTTATGTGTGCGTATTTTCAGATGTAGATGACACAATTCAACATCCAGATACAGGTAAGAATATTTATTGTATTATATATAATTAATTCTATTATATAATTATATATTTACATATATACATTTTTTGAAAGGAAATCAAAATGAAAATATGCAAGAAACCTTTGAACAAAAGAATAATAATGCTAGATTAACGGAATATTCTACTATGAGAACGGAAGATGATTCTCATTTCTTTACTTATTTTACTGTCGTTACTTTGGCTTGTCTTGCTGGATACATAGGTTATCATAATAAACAAAAGGTTAGTTTAATTTATGCATATTTATTTGACATTTATAATTTTTTTTATTTAGAAAGTAATTCTTTTTGTTTCAGATATTTGCTATTGTATTAGAGGGTCGAAGATCAAGAAGTAATCGTGGTAGACGACGACCAAGTACAGCAAGCTACCGAAAACTGGATTGTACACTTGAAGAAGCTGTTACCTCGCAATGTAATGCTAATGTTACTCATGTCATATATTAATGCGAGTAGATTATCATAAATTTAATAATGTCTGTATTATAGTACAAGTGTAATATATTTTGTAATTAAGCATATATTTTCAGCATATTATTTAATTTTCTAAAAATTTTATATTTCAGCATCAAAGCAATTCGTCATAGTAAAAATTATGAATAACTATAAATATGATAAAACGTTTATATTTATTACATTGAAAAATCTAATTATAATTTTAATGTACGGTATATCGAGAGTTGAACATATAATTTGCAACATATATGACTAAAATTAATTGATATTTAGTAAACACAAAAATTACTAGCAAATTTACATTAATTATATGTCTACTTAAGTTCATATTATGTTGACAGAGCCTACTAACGTAACGAGACAGTGGTAGAAACATTAATTCTGCTGTACGTTCTATCATTAATTTAATATATTTTGCTCTCATATTTTATTGATAAAAGTTACTTTTTGCCAGTATTCTGTCAACATTATTACATAAATGTGTCAGATCTATAACCTTTCTGCCATTAAAATTTGTAGCCAGACACTTGCAAAATCTGTTCTCAATAGACTTGATTGTACTAACGCATTAATGACTTAAAAAAATTTTTTTATTCTCATAGATTTACAAATTATAATTATCCGGTAAAATATGGAATGTTTGATTATTATTAATAATGTTTAATACATAATATTCTTTTTATCTTTGAATAAAGTGTCATTTATGAATATTTATATTATTAATTAATTTTAAGTATATTGCATATAAAATTAAGAAAAAATGTTATCTGTATTTTAAATTTAGCAATTCAAGAAAAAACATACGGCATAATTATGGCTAAAAACTAAACATGATGCGTTAAACATGACGTTAATTTTTAACATAAATTTCAATATTCAGACAATCTGTCAATTATAATTATTTAGTTAATTTAATGATATATACATATATATGATTATTGGACGTAGTACATGACTTCTTATCAAATATTTTATTTTACTTGGTATCATATACATATTATACACAGTAGGAATTAAAAAAAATTACAAATTACATAATCTAATTGTTTTGTTATTTATCTTACTATCATCAATTTTTTAGTTTATAAAACGAAATTGAAGCTTCACAATTAATTTTCTTAATCCATCAATTTTAGATGCTTAAATGCGGGTCTAATTATGCCGACAGAGATAATTAAAAAGAAAAATATCAATAACATATTAATATATCGTTATATATGATATAACGATAAGTGATTACGCGTGTGAAAATAATTACATACATGTCGCCAAAAAATTTATTGGTACGTTACTTTGCTTTTAAAAATATCTGAAAACAAAATAATATATAAATTTTCTTGGTCTTTGTTTTGACAACTTTCTTAGTACAGTTGGTATTGTATTATATTTTGTTTTACAAATACTTTTTTTATTGTGTTCTTATTAATTATCTATTTTAGATATTATAAACGCACATTTAACTGAAACATTTAAATCGATTTTAAAACATTTGTATACAGCTTTAAACTGCCTCTATACAATATTCTTTTTGCATATATAATATATATTTATAATATATATACGTATATAATTAATTTTCTTTTCTGCATATAATCATTTAATTTTTTATATTATTCTTGTACTCTCTTATAATCTGTTTCGATTTTGTTCAATACTAACGTTATAATAGATTTAATTTTTTTTCAGGTTTATTCAATCTCAACTTGTTTACGTATAAAAAAGATTTCTTGTAAATCTAAACTCCTGTCTCTCTCTGTCATATCTTTAATTTTTCATCGTAATACATTGTATTTATTATTTTAATATCTAAGAGTTATATATATGCTACATTATTACACATTATTAAATTGTTACGTCTTTGCTCTTTCACTTTCAAGAATAAAACTTATGTGATTTTAAATACGTACTATAATTTTTATAACATAATTTTAAATCTTATTTATAAATTTTTGCACAAAGAATCAATTATGAAGTTATTGTATTAATATTATCTAATAAACATTATATTCTCTAGTAAAAAAAACCGTCCAATTACATTCAATTAAAATTTACTGCTAATATTATAGGTTTTTACATGCAATTTATTGTATAATGGATCTAATATATAGTAATATATGAAATAAATAGTACTAGAGAATGGAAGAAAATAACGAGAAGACCTCGTTTACCTACAAATTAATTGCCAACAGCACCATTTGCCTACATCTCGTTTGCCTACAGATTGATTGCTTACAAGTATTATTGTCTACAACTCCATTACTTAATAATACTTGTAGGCAATAATACATGTAGGTAAAAATAATCCTATTTCTAAAAAATTTCGTTTGTGCGCTAAAGTGTATGGGCAATCGAGCTATAAGCAATAACACTTGTAAGCAATTGATCTGTAGGCAAACGGTGCTGTAGGCAATCAATTTGTAGGAAAAAGGAGAGTCGTCCCTTCTCCTACTAGTATAATCTCTAATACCTAATTATAATACTTTATTTTTCCAAAAGTATACGTAATTTTAACTTTAATATACTTTACTATCGTTAAACAAAATAATTTATGTTTATTAAATATGTGTATGCGTATATTGTATAATATATAATAATAATAATAAATCTTTATTGTGTTCCCTGTAGGATTATAATTATCAATTACAATATATATGTATATACATATATATGTATGATATTATGCATATATATATAATAATATATAATAATATGTATATTGTTTATGATGTTAAGAATATATAAATTATATAAGTAAATAAATAAGCTTAATTAAATATATTTAAATACATATTTTCATATAAATTCTATCTAATGAAAATACAGTTTAATGACGAAATTTTATGTATGGTCTTCACTTATACGTACATTTACATATACATGATTTATTATTATTTTAATATTAAAGTCAATGTTATAACAAATTACAAAGTATTCTAAAATGCACAGAATGTACATAAAGGATATTTCTCAAATTGCCGCACATTTCAATTATCAAATGTATACTAGTCGCCTAAATTATCATAACCTCATCAACATTTTATATTATTATTACTTATCGCAGGCAATATTTAAATAATAAAACAATAATAAGATTATTTTAATATAATAAAAACTCAATAATTGTACAAATAATAGAAATAATACAGTTAAAGAAGGATATTCATAGCATGCGTTGTATTTCATTTGTATGAGGTATTAGTATTATATGATAGTATTATACATGTATATTTTAAGATATTAAGAGATTTAGCTTAAATAGAATTAATTACAATAAAAGCTTATATTGATGTTTTATCACGGTGTTATTAAATTTTGAATATAAGCGGTACGTCTATCAATAGATAATAACGTGAATATAATTAGCCTTTCATCAAGTTTATGTTGTGTATTTACAATAGAATTAAAATCATAACTTTCGATATTTATATACCCATAACTATAATAGAAGAAATAAGATATTACTATTTTACGAATTCCTATTTTTTTTTTAAACGTTACAAAACTATTATTAATAATATTGACACACTTTAATCGAATCTGTTTTATTAAACAATTGAAATGTTATCGCTAATGCAATAATAGTGATTGTATAAATGAAAATACTCACTATATAATTGAACAGTTTTAACGACGTAGAAAGAATTGTGATTGTGTTGCAGATTGTATGCATATCTACAGTGAAATACTCATTGTCAGTGATATTACGTACGTGATAATATTGAGCTTATCATGTATCAGAAAATTATTGGGTTATATGTATATGGATAAGACATATTTGTGAATTTGATGTGAATGAAAGCGATTATATACATATAACATATTTGGAACAATTGTTTTAATAATAAATAGCACAATTTTTCATAAGATTTTTATAATCCAAATATATTTCATAAAATCTTGATCTATTAAAAAATTCTGCTATATTCGCATATAATTAACGTTATATTAAGATAAGTAAAATTTAATATTAAATTTATATTTATTTTTTAATATTTGTTACATGGAAATCTATTTATCCATGCAGAAAATACCATCTCTGCTATGATACTTTATCCAATTTAGATAATCCGAGTTTTTCACGTATACACCTGGGATCCCAGGATCAGCGCATCCAATACCCCAGGAGACTATACCTGTTGGAATAATAACAAAGAAAATCCTATAGCTGCAGGAAACCTCAAAAGTAGGTCATAAATTCTTTTCATAATTTATAGTCGTTTTGCGAGATAATTTTTCTGATTGACCAATTGTATTCAGATTAAAAATGATTGAAAAATTTGTAATACGTATACTCTTATACATATTCATTTTTCAATCGGGTATGTATGTAACTAATAATATTCTTACCAATTACTTCATATTTTCCATCTATTCTTTGATATAGAAGAGGTCCACCACTATCACCCTGAAATTTTTATATTATTAATATCTTTTAAATGCATGTATATATATTTGATTCCAAAATACATTGAAAAATTAAACTGATTATAACATAATACCTGACATGCGTCAGTATTGTCATTATAAGCACACATCATCGATTCCGTGACATGATCTCCAAATGAAGTATTCTTACATGCTGCATAGGACATTACTTTCAGAGTGGCTTGACGAAGAAATCGGGAAGGTTCTCCTTCTACTTCAACACGTCCCCATCCGGTAACTTTGACAAACTGTCCCGTATAATTAGAATCTATCATTGAAAACTTATTTATATTATTTTTTTTCATATTCTCTGAAAATGCTGACATATGTATGTAAAATATAATACAGATATGAACAAGTACCTTTAACTTAAATTTCAATTTCTTTAAGTGTTTTATAAATTAATATTTACTTTAAATTAAGTGCAACAGCTTAAATATTATGAAAAGACTACGAAACTGACCTTTATGTGGAAGACACGCAGGTTTCACATTTTCATTAATTTTAACTGGCTTTTGCAGTCGAATCAAGGCAATGTCATTTATATCGTGAAGATAATCACTCTCGAAATCTTCATGTAAAATTACATCATCGATTGCGGCTATGTATCCATCATTTGGGTTTTCAATATCGTGCATACCTACACCGACCGAAAGATCGGCATGATTTGTCCTACGTAAATCGTAAGAAGATATGAAAATCAGAATTTGATGATACATTATAATAAAGTATACTTGTTTCTATCGTAAAAGAATTTAATTACAATACTATTTTATACAATATTAATCTGTAACATTACATTTACTCATAACATTATATTATATTTTGTTGATAATGCTATTACAAATATTTATATAAAAACTCTAATATCTCTGAAGTTGCAAATTAAAATTCTAATTTAGAATATTATTCATATATTTTTCTGAATATACTAGTATATCAATAATTTGTTAAATATACTTTTATTTATTATCAAACGTTCATTGACTTTACTATTGTGCATGATGTTTTTAAAAAGATTACGATACTAAAAAGGCATTTAATCTTTTTAAAAAGAAATAGATAAAATACCATTTTATACAATGTCCAGCTGTTAATACATATTGGTTATTAATTAAAGTGCCCCCACAATGGAGACTGTCTTTATTAAGAATTGCTACGACCCAGGGAAATATATGCGGAATCGTTATTTTTCCGCCGACGATACGATTTGATATTCCTCCCGTCAATCCACATTCTGTTATAAGAAAATTTCATAAATTAATTAAAACTGTGTATTAATAAACAGATAAAATATAGTAAAATATAATTATATATCTTATATGTATAATATGCTTTTGTAGAACATTTTGATTGAAATCTTTCCTGCCAACTCTTAATTTTTTGTAATATATGAAAAAACAATTTAATTAAAATATTAAAAAATTTAAATTAGATACAGTTCTGAGAATAATTTTATTAAATCACTAAAATAATTATATATATATATATATATATATATATATATAAAGCTTAAACATAATGATTAATGTTGTAGAAAGTTTTGATACTCTAGCGTTTTAGTTTCAGCATCTCAATATCATTATTTCGGTAGTCCAACAAAATTATTTTCAGAACTGTATTTAACTAAATTTTTAAATACCTCAGCAAATCATTCTTTTCGTACATACATCTAATACGTGTGATTATATATATTTTGTTTGTATTACTACTCCTTCAATAATACAAATAAAATATACGATTAATATGAAATTAATCAAATTAAATGTTAACTAAATTTAAGACTTTCAGATTATTCTAGAATAAAAGCAATCTATAATATTGATGGGTATATGACTTTTGTGTTAATAAATTTTGTTACGCATATATGTATATATAAGCAAAATAATAATTACAATATGATCTTTACCGCAATTTTGATTTATTCGTCGATGTAAACGATGTTTTTGCGTGTGTATCGCCTGGAAATAAGCACGATGCAATTATTTAGTAATTAGTTATTATTCACGTTTTTGACTTGTTTTTGTGATAACTTTATTTAATTACTCTCTCAACGAACATCTATTAGAAAAATGCTGATAAAAATGCTGATCGTCGGGGTCAATTGGAGCTTCATAATTCGTAACTCCTGTTGAGATTTCACCTTCTGAAAACAATAGCGGTTTACTGAGCTTAACACAGAGAGCACTCTGTTCTATATCGAGCCACGAACAACGGTAACCAATTTCGATGCATCATTGTTGAGCGTATCACCTCGTCGACATTTTATATCTCGAGAAGCATGTTCCAATAAATTGCTATTCTCATTAATACGTGGACGATAGATTTCAACGAATAAACACGCAACACGAAATGCACTATCATGGATCCGAATTAAATACAAAATTAAAATATAGATTATAGAATATATAAAGATTAGATATACATACATAGATATTTTTTTTAAATACCGAAATTTTACAAAAATTGAAAAGAATAATTTTTATTAATTGATATGTATTTTCAAAGAAAATATTGTTATAATTGATTAATGTCACTAGTATACAAATATACATATTCAATTAGTAAATTTTATCTTTAATGTGAAAAACATACTTTATCCTGTTCAGAATAAGTCGGCAGATTTTACAGGTCACTGCTTTTTCTTACCTTGAAAGTGTTATAAATTACTTTTGGAAAGACGGGAAAGGTATTAGAGTGGTATATGGGCGATAAATTCTTATAAGGATTTCCTATAGCAATTGTGTCTGTGACTAAAGTCGGTGTATGAAGAAGAAAGAAGACGATTTGAGAACTTGCGTTCTCAACAAAAAAAAGAGATAAATTAAAAAATAACTGTTCTCCTTATAACACTTAAATCTAAAAAGAGCGTAGGGCATTAATTAAGAAGTTTATTAATAATAAATAATCGTAATATTACATCATAAACTAAGAGTATTAAAAAAATTACAATTTTAAAAGCATTATTATTGTTCTAAGCGTAGATGTAATGTAAAATTCATTGCCGTTGAAGGTAATTGAACAGTCATTGAACATTGAACTTTCATTGGTTAGTCGCCATTCTCTTGCCTCGGCACAGATATCAGTACAACTCTGCAGATACCATATCGGGTACGTCGATAGACGAGCATTATAGTTTACGAGTTATGGACAATTCGGTCAACAACGTTTTATGTAGCACAGCCGCTGATAAACTTTAAATGCATCGTGAGAAAATTATAAATTGTTTGTACTAAAATATTAGCAAATTTATAAGAATACATATACTTTTTTATATTATAAATTTATAAAATTTTCAATAATTTAAAACAAAACATAATAGGTTGGACCAATAATTCAGACAAAAAATGATATGTTGGGAATCAACGCCATATACAATGCGTAAGTTATTTTAGAAATTTTTGCACCGCGCTAATTCCTTTTTATAACATAATTTATACATTGTAACATAAACGATATAAAATTTTATTCCTTTAGGTAATTGTTTTATTGATAAATTGTTTCAATAATTTGATTATATGATTCAACAGTAGTATTTAGTAGTATTGGAGGAATGGGTAGAACATCAATCTTTGAACCTAGTCAAAAAGTTATCTAGATTTAAAGAGTTCCTTTAATTTCGACTTCCGTTAAGTTAGTAGAGATTACGAAATTTTTCTATATGTACGGAGGGAATGCAAGATTTAAACTTATCGGACAAATCCATTGTGCTCACACGATATTCCTACATAACTTAGAAGATTGTTTCAATCATATTAATGTCAACAATATTTGGAATCATGTTTTGTTGCTTGCAATATCCTTGAAGTCATTTGTGTAATATCCGTATAGAAATCTGGATATTGATCTGGATTATTGATCAGGACTTCCGTGAATGTGTCCACTGAATGTGTGCACTCGTTTATATCATGGTAACGTATTGACATATCTAACTGTTAGACACGCGCGTTAAATTAATTAATATGAAATACTCTATACGTAACATTAAAAGGAATTTGTAATTTTTATTGTAAAACTGTTTTATTGAATTGACGTTTGCTACACTTAATACATAGTATAAATTATACTAAAATGAATAATATTTTGATATGCGAGAACACTGAAGAATGCGCGTATGTGGTTTAATTCATCCATATAGTTTTTAGATAAGATATAATACTTCAAGTTTACAATTTTTCCTACTGATTGTGAATAGAAATGAATTACTTAATCTGCAAAATATATGAACATTATAAAATTCAATGTTTATTATTTAATATGATTTCTAAATTATTTTAAAATAGTTTATATTTTACAGCCTTATATCTTATAATGTAATAAAAATATTTTTATTTCAAAAAGTATACACTCGTTTAATATATTTATTAAAATTTTCATACATGTGTGTGTAATAATCAAATGTATTAAATAGTATTTTAAACAGTGCTTTGTTTACTTGATATTTAATATCATTTTGTGTTTTTTAAAATGCAACATACATATATACCAGTATAAATAATAACAATAAAATAATTATCAGTATCACACGTGCAATAATATTCTCGTAGATTTAATGTAAATTTGATTGTATTATTTTGTACAGTAGCAGGCATCTTTGGTGTGTTGCAATATCCAGTCGAGACGCGGTCCTACTCTCGTAAAAACAGTTAGCTTAGGCGTATCTTCGCATTTATTCACGCTTGGAATAATTCCTATAATATATACAATATACATATGTATTTTGTTAATCATATATTTCTTTAACTTTAAGAATTTATTATTAGATAAAATACAAAATTTTCCTTAAAATTTTTTAACTTTACTAAATATTTTTTTTAATATGTCAATGTTAAGTAATATTTTTTATTAGTATAAATTTGATATGTAGCTACATATTTTTAAATGTTAAATTAGTTTTAATTTTATAAATAATTATATTTATACCAATAAGGTCATAAATTCCAGCATATGATCGATATTGCACAGAAGATCCGACATCATTCTATAAATATGCAACATTACTACATAATTATATATAATTATAAATAATATATCATTTTTGATAAATTCTTTGTTTGTAAATTAAGAGAGATAATTTTACTTGAATTTAAATTTATAAAAAAATTTTCAAGTTTAAATACAATATGTTTTGTAAATTTTAGAATGTCATTATATATTAGTATATTGTAGTCATAACGTGACATGTATTTACTTACATCGCACACTAAAGAATTTGTACCCACAATTCCGACGCATCCATAATCATCGTTTAAGTTCATTGGATTTATTCCTGATTTAATACATTCATTTTGTCCCAGAATAGGAAGTCCTAATTTTCGAGGTCTACATGCCGCATCATCAGCCTGATCTTTATGCTTGGTCCATCCTACCAAAGTTCCAACTTGACCAAGATAAGTTGAGCCTAGAATTCAAAAAAACGTTTAGCTCTGTCTTATCATCATTTTTATCAACTATCACAGATGTATTATGTTACGAGTCTCAAAAAGAAACTAACCTGGATTGGGTAAGCATATCGGTGATATTCTCTTTTCGAATTTTGTTGGTCGACTCAAACGTATTAAAGCTAGATCGTGAGTACCCGAGTCTAGATTAAATTCTGGATGCAAAATTATAGATTCGACACTAATGTTTACTGACGAAATATCTAAATTACATCGATCATATTCTCCCAAGGATACCTTTATTTCATGTGCTGTTGCTCTGCCGGGAAAAATATTTATACAGGACATATTTATACAGGACATCCTACTACAATTATAATCTTTTCTACTATTAATAATTGTAATATAATGTTGAAGATTTCACTCTATTATATACACTAACCCGACAAGTTGACTAGCTGCTGTTAAGACATAACGGTCATTTATCAATACTCCACTCACTAGCAATTTGGACTTTATGTGAATATTTGCGAGCCACGAAAATTCATGCGGTTCTGTATATTCGCCACCTAATAATCGCGCTACCTTACGATTTGGTCGACCGCATACTACAGATGTATAAAGAATATTTTATATCAAATATTTATAACAATTTAGATTTTAGATCAAAGAAACAAAATTTGTAAGAAATGGTTTAAAAAAATTATTATACATATACATACATGTGTATATACATATATATATACATACATATATATATATTATATATATATATATATATGGGACATTCTTTGTAAAGTCGATCACCCATTGCTCCAAAATTGTATTTGACGTAAAATGTCCCATATATATATTTATATATGCACATAGTTAAAGAAAAATATATTCATAATAAAATACGTAATAATATTTAATACATAATTAGGAATCGTATTGACATCTGTTACGTTCCATAGTTAAAATACAGATTGATGTAATATTGATATATTTTTCATGTTTTACACACACACACACACATACACACACACAAATATGTGTTGTATATTAGTTAACATCTATAGTATAGCTGTATCATTTTATTTTGTGAAAGAGTAAATAAAGTATGGTGAATTGCGTATTATAAAGTTTCCTTTAAATGCGAGTGAGAACATTAATGTTTTTCTCCTTCTGTTACTATTTAAATAATAAATGATAAGTAATAAATTATAATGTAATTACTGTTTAAATAATAAATAAGCCTATTATATAATATTAATAATTTAGTTATTTACATTAAATATCAAATTGTTTAGATTTTAACAATTCTAAATGTTTCCTTTGCTGTTTATATTATTATACTATTTCATAATTATATATTTATATCTTAATAATTGTTACTTACAGCAAGCACCACAGGTCCGAAACCTTCCCAAAAGAAGATCAAAAACGCCACGTTCATGTCTTATTTTAATCTGATTATCAATCTATTCAACGAATACATTTGCAAGCTTTTATACATTTACAATATTTTATATATATATATAAATAATTTAAGTAATAATTTTTAATCTTTTATAAATTTATTTTAAATTAGAAATGTAAAAATAATGTAAATAATTTTGCAAAATAGAAATATATTATTATGATTGAACAATTTTTTACGTAATATGTCATATATGTGTTAAATATATGCAATTTAAGGAAATATACAAATAATTGTAAAAGTAATTACGACAAAAATTAGCACGGCAAAATTGATATGTATCAGCTTACAGTAGCATCGATGATGCGTTCATCGCAGTCAATTTTTCCAAAATTCACCAACAAGATACAAATAAGGTATCTGATATAGTCTTGCAGCTTCATGACTTTTCTGTCGGTAGTCGAGGCGATACTGGTCTCACTTAAATGACTGGTTTGTGCCGTATAGCGGGACTATCATCGCCCGCATCCTGAAACACTCTCAAGAGAGTGTAAACTAAATATAACCCATACATTTTACATTTGCGCTGAAGTTCGTATTTGATTCTACCGTTGTACTTATTTCATTTTTTAATATTTTATTTTGGCCTGAAAAGTAGATGATTAACCGGTTTGCCGGTCCCGTTACATATTTCTCGGCAGTCAATGTGTGTATTAATGAAATTTGTTGTTGATGTCTTTGATATCTTTGGTATTTGAGAATTTATGAATAAATTTTTAGCGAAGAATAAATAATAGAAATCTATACATTTTTATAATAATTTTTACCACTGTTTTATTTTACGTATTGCTTTTATTAAAATTTGTTGTTGTTTGTTATTACAGATATATTATATATAATTGATATCTACTGTAAAAAATGTCTTTTTTTTTACATATTGTAAATACTGTAAAGATTAGAAGTTAAAAATATTAAATACGTGTTTGTTTTGTAATATGTACAATATGTAAATCATTTTTCTATAAAACTAATATTAAATTAATATTTAAAATATATATTACATTATATATTGCATAGTATTCTTATGACTGCATATATCATAAGATAAAAATCATGACAGTAATTTTAAAAATAATTTATACTCGCTCTTTTTTTGTATTATTTATTTTAAAAATTTCCAAAATTAGCAAAATATAATGATGTAAAACTTAAAATATAAAAATATAGAACCATAAACTCCAGTAATTAATGGCGAATGAGAGAACAGCGTTGTTGTTGGTATGCACAATAATAAGAAGTGAATTTTTCTAGAAATATATAAAACTTCAGATATAAATTATATTTAAATTATATTTAAAAAATATGTTAAAGGATATTTAAAGCTAATTAATGTAAACGTTTATTACGTTTTTTTTTGTATTGAATAGTACAATAAAATACTTTCTACAAAAAGACATAACACTGGTAGCTTAAGTCTAATCTCAATCTCACTATAGTCAATTTCCTCGGCAATACAATTGAGTATTTTAACCTTTGGCTATATTTCAGCAGTCGTAAAAAAATTGTATGGTAAATATTGCACAGTATAATATTATTTTTGCAAACATGTTACAATATAACAAATACTGACATATCATACCTATTTATAATTTCATAATATCGCCTCTATTTATTTATTTATTGCCGTCATCAAGCAAATGTAAACAGAACGAGAGAGAGAAAGAGAAAGGAAAGAAATAACAATAAATCTAATAGATAAATCGTGAAAATAATATTATACAAAAATTCACATTTTTGAGCAATTTAAGTACATCAGTTTCATATCTGGCACATCACTCTAAATTTGCTAAATATGTAAATTATATAAAAAAAAAGTCATGACAAAAATATAATATATGGTATATCCTGAGAACTGAGCACGAGAATTCAAAAAACTTATACATACAATAGTACGTAAAGTCATTTGTCATTTGTCTCTTTTTAACATGTTTACGATTAAGAATTGCTGAGTCATAATCAGTTATGCTCACAGAAACAGCCATCCTTTGAATTTTTCAAAATCCAATCCATATATCGTGTAACTCTTGTATATACACCTGGGTAACCAGGTCTTGCGCATCCATTACCCCAGGATACTACACCGATGAGTTCGTATTTTTTATCTTCGCGCTCCGTTATTAGAGGTCCACCACTGTCGCCCTGTAATACAAAAGATTTTTTCATATTTGCTCACAGTATCCATACACACGTACACACACACGCATATGCACAAAATTCGGTAATATTAAATGAATATATTACCTGACATGAATCTTTTTGTCCTTCAAGATAACCTGCGCATAACATATTTTCTGAAATCATTCGAGCACTATAGCTGGTATTGCGACAAGCCTGAAGACTCATAACTGGAACTTCTACTTCCTGAAGAAGGCAGGACGGTTTACCATCCTCTTTCAATGTACCCCAACCTGATACAATTGCTTTTGCCTCTACATAATCGTTATCTAAAAAATAATTTTGCATTACGTATATTATAATAAATAATTACATAAAGCAATTAATTGCAATAATAATTTTATAAAAATAATATATTAGTAAAAATTGTTTTAATATTTCTTAAAAATAATTCCGTTTAAAATTAAATATATTTAATAATATAACTATATATTTACATAATGAAAAGAATTTCAGTGGTAATTAACTTTCTACTAAAAAAATTAAAAAAGCGAAAATCACTAAAAGAAAGTTAAGAGGTTTTCGCGTATAAATATATTATATGTACATTATTAACGCAAATACATTATAATGCCGGTAAACAGGGCAGGTAAGTGTACCATGTCATGCTGCGTTAACAAATTCAGAAAAGATGATTGCGTGCATTCGAAATGCAAATTCAAGTCCTCGATTTCAGAGAAATCTTCATTATTACGCAGTTATTTGTGTGACGCGACAATGCATTTCAACTGAGAGTAGGTACCCGTATAGTGACTAATTTATGACTTTTCTATTGCGTAATTGTCGCATAATAAACATGACTGCTAATCGCAGGTCGCTTGATATATCCAATATTATGCTCGATTTTATAAAAATGTATTTTGATCAAAATTAACAATCGCGAATATACTATTGTAACATCGTCTGAGCATAAAATTGTAATATACTTTAAAAGTATAATAAATATTAATAATGCATTCACCATATTAGATTAAAATTATGCAATAATTGCCTGTCTTGAATAAAAAAAATATTACCAATTTATCTGTCAAACGTAGCGAATTAATGAAGCACATTGTAGAACGTAAAGAATAAATTTCAATGTACTTTTATTATTATATTAGCATAATTAATTTTTATAATACATTTATAATAAGTGTTTTATTATAATTTCAATTATAATAAAAATTGTAAACTTAATATTATTGGTTTTATTATATATTACATTTTTGTAAAGAAAAAATTGATGTACTTAAATCTTAAATAATAATAATATAATTTTTATACAAAAATTTTTATATCAGATTATTGTTATTATTAACTCAGTATACTTTCATAAAAAAGGAAAAAGAAAACTTACCTAACATTGTTGGTAAACATATTGGGCGTATTGTATCGCTCAATGGCACTCTTTCATTAAGACGAAGCAGCGCAATATCATTTTCAAAATTCAAAAAGCTGAAGTCACCAGTCATAACGCGCACTACGTATCTGGTTTCCGGTGCTTTCTCGATACATCTGTCGTGTTCTCCAAAAGTAACTCTAATCATGAACCACATGAATCTGAAAATAAGACTAGAAGAACTGATCACATTGGTCTGGCGGATAAGTTTGCAATGGAGGAATAAATTTAATTAAAATAAATTTTTAAAAAATGAATTTTCTCTATATACATACGAATAACAATATTTTCTAATTTAATTTATTTATTGTTATTAATGGTGATAGGTTATTCACATTGCTCTATTTGTAAGTAACTAAAAATTATAATCGTCAACACTAAAATAATTTATTATTCTTTCATATCAACATAGAGAAGCTAACGGCATTAAAAGTTTTCCTTGTAACATGACATTAATCAAGGATGCAAATATGAAGTTTGACCCGTTTGCGTGTTAAGTAGATGATGCCAACAGTACGAATAGTAGTTATTTTATACAGTTAATGTAAGGCCTATTTTCATAATACAATGGTTATCTAAAGATTAAAGATTATCAAAAGATTTATCAATGAAATTCATTCATGAATTTCTTGATAATCTTTAATCTTTATAAATAATTATATATTGTAAAAACGGACCAAATTTATGAAAATATTCTGAGTATCTACTTCCGATTTTATTTATAATAAAAGCAAATTAAATGTATCTTTTGTTAAGACTTGTGATTATTATTACTGATTATTATTTCGATCAAATTTTTTATATCTGTTATACATTAGTAAAAACTACCGAATTCTAGATGTTTTAGTAAAAAAGTAACATATTAACAAAATTTAAAAAAAAAAAATTTAAAAATGAAAGAATTAAGATTTAATTTTAATATTAACAATTTTGATTGTATCAGATGCGTAAATTTATAAATCATACCTACCCCTTTACGCAGTGTGCAGCTGTAAGAACGTAGCGATCATTTATAAGTGTACCACCGCAGTAAAACTTGTTTAAATACGATAATCTAGCCATCCATGGAAACTCATTCATACTCGTTGTTTGACCTCCAACTATACGACTTTCTTCATTCCGTAATCCACAACCTAGATTACAACGATTGAAGTATAGTACATTTTTTGCTATGCTGTTTTTCATAATACTATATTTAATAAAAGTAAAATTTAACAAGAAATGCATATTAAAGTACATACTACAGTAGCATGGCGCAGGTGATTCAGTGGAGTAAGGTGGCTTATTACCAAAAACTCCAAAAAAATTCTTTATCTTCTCATTGGACATTTCGGTCTAAAATCAAAATAATTATATTAATTAATTGATGTATGTGTGTTTTCTACTTATATAGACATTTTCTAAAAACGTCCAGAAAACGTTCCTATGTCCTAAAGATATTTTCAGGATGTCTCGGATAAAATATGAAAATTTATTGTTATATTAAATATTTATGTATTACAAATTTTTAAGAAAACTAATTAATAGTTTTAGTTATAAATTTTAGGCATAAAGAGACACAATTATGTGCTATAAATATTTATTATATTATAGGCGCATAATTATGTACTATAATTATTTTGATTACAAATTAATTATTCTCATTAAAAAAAGTAACTGAATTAAAATTTAATTTAATTTAAAAAGTTAATTAAAAAGTAAATAAGTAAACAATGAATTTAAATTTAAAAAATGTATTATAACTTTGAAAAAAGTCATTTTTATAAATTTTGTTTGTCATGTACAATTTTTTTACTTCGATAAGTTATTAAAACTGTTTACATTATATGTTTGTATTTTGTTAAATATTAAAATTAAAATCACATTATGAGAACTAAACGTTATACACTCAGAAAATATTTTAATAATTTTTCAAAAAATCGCATGTACATAGCAGTATATAATATAAATCGATTTTATTATTCATAAATGCAATTCTTACCTGACATTTTTTTGTTGCCAAAAATAAAATAAATAATAAAATTAAGAAACACAAAGGCTTCATATTCTGCGACTTGATTAAGTAACTTGTGTTGCACCGATAATTATACACTTACAACTTTAATTAGATTTTTGTAGATATATGAGTGAAAAAGTTGCCACACGGGCACCGTCAGGAACGAGTCATGGACATGTCCCTGACTGAGAGCGACTATCACTGGCGTCCTACACCGACTATGGAGGACTGAGAGGTCGAAGAAGTAATTGCTATTCCGGAAGGGAAGGCGGGCACAGCACAGCCAGCCGGTCGGTACCTGACCAGTTCACGTTCATGTTCAGGGTCGAATCACGAATGACTGTTATTGACCGTCATCAGGGCCACGATGAGAAATTATTACTCAGAGAGTTGTTTCGATATATTATCATCTACATTTACATAAATTTGTGTATCATTAAAAATACAAAAATAATATCTTTCTATTTCTTATTTGATATTAGCGCAATAAATAGTTTATTAATTATTTTATAAGATAGCTTACATAGAAAAGTAGTAACGTTACTTTTACTTTCAATTATCTCATTAATTTCTTTCTTTGCGTATATTTATAAAAGAACGTTTTGTAAAATACTTGTGTAATAAGGAAAAGTTGGTATTAAAACGTTTATATTAATTATATACATATACACCAAATCTCTTTTTTTCCAAGATTTTTTTAGTAGATAATATGAGTTACGAAAAAATATATTAAAATATGAATATACTTATAACAATGATTTTTGTTTAAATGTAATCGAAGCATCTTTACAATTTCGCAATGCGTCCTGACGTATCATCGTGCAAATGCATAATGAAATAAAAGAGAGTACAGAAAGAGAAGGTTGTACACAAGTACTCATCTTAGTTTTATTAAATGCGCATACACATTTGATGCGTCATCTAGTACCGTTTGGCAGGCACATTTCACGAACAATTTGTTATTAATGAATATCTCGACAACCTGTTATAAAAGAAAAAAGTAGTCTTGTTAGTGTATCCATTAAATCACGTTATTTTCATTTTTGGTCAGAATGTATAATAAAGTTTCCACTGATTGTTATTGTACTAATATAACATTGTTTTTTTTAGAACTAGTTTCAGTTGAGGAATCAAGTTTAGCAACTACATCATCGTTATTATTAACTATCTATATTTATATTTCTACGAAAAATACAAAAATTATAATAAATTTTATAAAGAGTGTAGTATCATACATTTTGAATTTTCTTTCTTTATTACACTAATATTGTAAAATTATGTATTCTGTCATATTAAATATTATCATTCATGCTGAGACAGAAACAATACATTTATTATGTTCTAATCTTATTCTAATTTCAACAATAAAGATATACACAAGAATATGCATATATGAGATTTGTTTAATGTCATACACATATATGTACAATATATTGTAATAATGAGTAACAATTAAATGATTATTTTAGAAAATAAATGTTATAAAGCACAACATAAATAAGGTTTTTTTTATTCAGATAATTTTAATTATTTTTATACACTAACAAAATACGTAACAATTTTTTAAATTTATATTTTTATATTTTGTATTTGTTAATACATTTTTAGTCTTTTACAAGTTTATACGTATTATTTTATAATACACGTGCATACATACGTATTATGTGCACATACGTAACAGGTAATATCAGTAATTTAGATTAACATAAATTACACTATCTTCTATTATGTACAAATTACTAGTTGCGCATACAAAGATACTATTGCACGTGAAGTGCATTTAGATGCGTTAACTTTAGCCCGGTTTGACAGTGAACCGTTACTGGTTGCTAATTATTCCGGAAACGTTTGACCGCTATTCGTACGGTTAAAGGTGATAGAAATGTGTGATGCGAATTAAGCATGTACTCTAAATCTCTTAAATTAAATTTTCTACAAAAATATATCCTTTACATTTATATACATACTTAAGCAATAACTAAATAATAACAATAATGGCCTCTATACAAGGAACTATATTTGATAAGTCAGTATTTAATAAAAAAATTGTACTTAGTTCCCTCATATAAGTCATTTAAGAATGATAATGTAAACCGTGGTTATTGCAACGATTAATTACAATCATTGCATGTGAAATTTTATGTGTAAGTCGGAGGTGAAAGCAGGTCCTCAGGTGACACACAGACAGCCTTCTTTCATGTTTGCGTGGATCCATTTGAGATATCGGGTTACTCTCGTGTAAACTCCGGGATAACCTGCTCTACCACATCCCACACCCCAAGACACTATACCTATTAGATACGTTTAAAACACACACATAAATTCTACATAAACAAAAATGTTTCGATAGTAAGATACCCCTCCCCCCAAATCAGCAAAGAATATAATTTTTAAAAAGTTCTTAAAAACACTTTTAAAACGTCAAAAATGATAGATTGAGTCATCTAATTTTAATTACAAACAGATATTTATTTTAACATTTAAAATAATATTTCTTTAAAATGTTTGAAAAACGTTCATTTTAAAATTCTAAAAAACGTTTTTAAAATATTTTTAAAAAACATGTGAAAAACATTAAAAAGTATATTTTTAGAATAATGGGTTATATCGATAAGAATAATGGATTAGTCACCTTTTTTTCATTAAAAAACATTTTTTTAACAATGTATGAAAGGACATACATTATACGTTTAAAAAACGTTTTATCAACATTTAAAATAGATCTTTTAACAATCAACAAACAATTGTTGTTAAAATGTTTGTAAAAACATTTTTTAAAATTGTTTGTTGAAAGGTACGAGAATTATGAGATCTATAAGAAAATATTTCAATATTTAACATTTTATCAGATCAAAAAACCTTTATATAAAGTGTCCGGAATTTAAATGTCAAAATTTTGGAAGAGAGTAAAGGAGATCTATTAAACTAACATAAGAAAAAAAGTTCTACAGAAATATACTCGTTTTGCTTTCATTTTGGAGAAAATCACAAGAGTCAAAACGGAGTTACTTCGTTCTTGGACGTGAAGGAGTAGTCTTCACCACTCCAATCACCTGATCTGACATCACAGGACTTCTTTGTGTGAACAGTCCTAAAGCAGGAAGTTTATTCATTGTCAATCAATTTAAGAAAAAAATGAAAAATCAAATCGAAGCTGCAATGCACTAAATATCACCATAGATCAATGTTTGGTTGAACACTAGTCATCTGTACTGATAATATGCTTGCATTCTTGTAAGAGGCTAACATTTTAAACCATATCTACATTAAGCAAATAATCAAATATAACATGAATAAGTAATAAAGAAGTACAAAAAATACGTTTTGTCTTTTTTGCAATTTTCTCCAAAATGAAGCAAAAACGAGTTTATCTCTACGAGACTTTTTTATTAGTTTATCGAACCTCTACACGCTTCCGAAGTTTTGACATTTAAATTCCGGATACTCTGTATACTATAGTATACTCCGAATACTATTAGGTATATAAGCTGAAACCCGCCTTTTTTTTTGCCAAAATTAAGCCTTTATTTAAAAAAATAAGTAACAAGAATTTATCAATCAAAGTATTGGTCATCGTTAGATATGACTTTTTCCCATCTTTCTGGTAATAAGCGGATCCCACGGCGAAAGAACGACTCATCTTTAGAGGCTATCCAGTTAGAGACCTATTTTTCGACGCTTTCATAAGAGTTGAAGTGTTTCTCTGCAAGTGCGTGTGCCATTGACCGAAACAAGTGGTGGTCGGAAGGGGCACAGTCTGGTGAATAAGCCGCACGGGGTAGCACTTCCCAGCGAAGTGCTTTTAACGTTTCCTTAACGAGTTTCGTGACGTGAGGTCGAGCGTTGTCGTGAAGCAAGATCACTTTATGCTGTCTTGCCTCATATTCTGGTCGTTTTTCGCGCAATGCTCGGCTCAAACGGATTATTTGTTGTTGGTAGAGATCTCCTGTGACTGTTTGACCAGATTTCAACAGCTCATGGTACACTACACCCTTCTGGTCCCATCAAGTACAGAGCATAGCCTCCTTCCCATGAATATTCCGTTTTGGCGTCGATGTCGATGGTTGGCCTGGATTGCAAATGGTTTTTCGGCGTTTAGGATTATCGAAATAGATCCACTTTTCATCGCCAGTCACAATTCGATGCAAAAATCCCTTTCTTTTTGCCTGGCAAGCAGCATTTCGGAGATGATTTTTCGCCTTCTCTCTCTTTCAATTCATATGGTACCCATCTTTCTACCTTGTATACCTTTCCCATGGCTTTTAAACGCTTGGAAATAGCTGCTTGAGTAACATTCAACGTTTCTGCAAGTTGATTTTGTGTTTAACGTGAA